TTGTTAAATTCTTAATGCATCCTGTGTTCCGGTTTTTCCTTATATACTGTGCCATTGGGTGTGTTAAGAATTGAGTTATATTTTGTAATAATGGAACTTCATATTTCTGCAATGCATATTTAAAGAGTACTTGTTGAAAGCATACCATTCACCTAAAGTTAAAGTTCTGGTTTATTTAAAGCTTTAAGAAGAATCATTTCTGGGCTTGTGATGTTAATATTGCCCCCCTACTGGGGTTATTTGTCCTTGGGTTGAAGGGTTGGAAATCGTGCCAAATGGGATAACATTGCCGGTGGACTTCCAGGGGAGGAGTACGGGGGAGGCCTTCGTGCAGTTTGCTTCACAGGAAATAGCTGAAAAGGCTCTAAAGAAACACAAGGAAAGAATAGGGCACAGGTGGGGATGGATGGTTGGTTGGATTTGTCACTTTTCTTATGGTAAAAAATTAAATCCATATTCTCTCTGCTTAAAGGGAATTTGTCTTATTTTCCAGTCCCAACTAATTGTTGCTTTGCCAGTTTTAAAGCTTTTTTTCCTTCTCAGTCCCATATTACATTCAAAATATATTTTAGATCTCGAAATTGTCCCCAGTTAATTTGGTCTCCTACAATTTTGTAAGCTTCAAATTAACCTCAATCAATGGAGTTGAGAGACTATGGCTTTAAAAGAAAGTTAATGCAAACCTGGCTTTAGCTGTCATAACACCCACCTAGTAAATTAATATTACCATAAGAAAATGTGATACTTTCTGATCTTGTTTTTAAAGTTGAAATGCAACAAACTTTTCTTGCTGTATAAATATTCTGCATATGTATTAATAAGCATAGCTTTCAAGAAATTGTCACAAAAGGTTTTATTCTCTTTGCTTGTGACTATTTTTCATTGAAGCATGCGCTTACCTATGCTGATTTCTACTAAAAGCATAGGCTGGGGTATTGGCGAAAGGAAATGTGTAGTGTGGGCTAGACTGTTGGTGGAGGCTGGCTTTTTAGCTCACTTGCTATACATGCTGCCAGTGGATTTTAAGACAAAATGTTGAAAGTTGAGTGGAATTCTTTTCCCTCCTAAAACATGTATTTACAACAGTACTCCTCTACCCCTAAGGTTGGGCACTCTGCCTCAGAGGAGTGAGTTTTTGTCCTATAAAGTTTTGAATCTTAAAAATTGAGTGAATTTCTGGTCATTGCCTATGCAAATATAAGAAATCTGGCTTTTAAATATGTCAGTTTCATGGCTATGACCATTTTGTTTTCTTGTGTATCTAAATACCTGTATGAAATGAACTAATGTTTTTTCTCCCCTCCCTACTCCCTTTCCTCCTGAACAATGCTTTAGGTATATTGAAATCTTTAAGAGCAGTCGAGCTGAAGTTAGAACTCACTATGATCCACCACGAAAGCTTATGGCCATGCAGCGGCCAGGTCCCTATGACAGACCTGGGGCTGGCAGAGGATATAACAGCATTGGCAGAGGAGCTGGCTTTGAAAGGATGAGACGTGGTGCTTATGGTGGAGGTATGTGAAGATTTTCAGGGATCACAGAAAAAAACCTGTTCTTTGTGTTTTCATTTGATTGACTGTACTGTCTGTCTTTCAGGTTATGGAGGCTATGATGATTATAATGGCTATAACGATGGCTATGGATTTGGGTCAGATAGATTTGGAAGAGGTAAGGTAAGAATATAATTTCTCAGATGAAGTATACTTACACTCTTGTCCATCTAGACCTCAATTACTGTTTTTCAGGAATGTCTGACCATAGATACGGAGATGGTGGCTCTACTTTCCAGAGCACAACAGGACACTGTGTACACATGCGAGGATTGCCTTACAGAGCCACTGAGAACGACATTTATAATGTAAGTGCAACATGAAGTTCACAAGTTGACTGCTTTACTGTAGCAGTCAAAACTAAGTAAAAACAGAATGTTTGGAATTTTTATTTTGGTAACACTAGAAAGTTGATTGACATTCTATGAAATGCCTTGTATTTTAGTTTTTTTCACCGCTCAACCCTGTGAGAGTACATATTGAAATTGGTCCTGATGGCAGAGTAACTGGTGAAGCAGATGTCGAGTTTGCAACTCATGAAGATGCTGTGGCAGCTATGTCAAAAGACAAAGCAAATATGCGTAAGTGATTGCTCTCTTGAGACTCTTCCAGGTGGTTGAGTGATTAGAAGTTTAATGGGGGCGGGGGGGATGGTAGAAATTTGTTCTCTGAGAGGTTATTTTGGCATGTGTTAAGTTTGGGGTGTAAGTTTGAAAGGGGTTTTTGACACTTAGACTAGAGGTATATCTTAAATCAGCTGATGAAAGGAATGCAGTCTAAATGAATGTTTGGAAAACAAGTAAATCATTAGAAGTAGAATTTTATTTTTTACCCAAGAGTATTTGAAATTCACAGATCTACTTGTTTAAGAACTTTGTTTCCTTTCACCAACAAACATTTCCCAACCTTTTTTTTCTCATTTCAGAACACAGATATGTAGAACTCTTCTTGAATTCTACAGCAGGAGCAAGCGGTGGTGCTTACGGTAGCCAAATGCTAGGAGGCATGGGTTTGTGTAAATATCACTTTAGTGTCTTTTTTTTTAAGCTAACCTTGTATGCCTTTTCTCTCATTTCAGAACACAGATATGTAGAACTCTTCTTGAATTCTACAGCAGGAGCAAGCGGTGGTGCTTATGGTAGCCAAATGATGGGAGGCATGGGCTTGTGTAAATATCGTTAGTTTTTTTAAAAACCAAAACATATGTATATAAGTCAAATAAGTTACTTATATTTAAGGTGTTTAGTATAATTTAGGTACAGAAGTTTTGAGTTTGTATCTTGTTTAAATCTTAACTGCTTAAATAGAATTCTACATAGCTTTAAGAATTTTGGGGGGAGTATAAAAACTAGTTGAATTGTCTCATGTATGAATCTTAAAGTTAATATTTAGTGAAAAATCACAGGATCAAGTAAAGAGGGGATAATTAGGGTAATAATTGATAACCTGTGTATATTGCCATAACTTAATATATAAAATTATGGGGTGGGGGAACCTCACTAATTCCCAGTTAAGTGGTTTCATAAAGTTGTCAGAAAAACCTGTACTTTATGGAAATATGTGGACTTAGTCTTGCTGATGTGTATGCTGTTGACTATTTGGATTATGTTGGACTAGCTGAGATGGTGGAGAGAATAGTCTGGTCGTAGAAGGCAGAAGTGGGGGAGGCAGAGGGTTATAGATAGTAAGTGTATATAAGATAAAGATTGGAAATTAATAGGCTTAGAAGTACAAGCCCGGTACCACCAGGTACCACATTACTTATGGAGTAAGGGTCTAATGTTGTCTTAACTTAACAGCAAACCAGTCCAGTTACGGTGGCCCAGCCAGCCAGCAGCTGAGTGGAGGTTATGGAGGCGGCTATGGTGGCCAGAGCAGCATGAGTGGATATGGTAAGTTTTTTTTTTATTATTATTCTTAGAATAAGTTAGGCAGATTTCATTAGTGGGGAATATGCAGGCTCCTTTTTGATGAAATTGGGTCATTAAATACATGCTTTTGAGCCTAATGTTAATTGCTCTCAGCATAATTTTCAGAAGCAATCTTGGGAGGGGGGTGGTTTATAAATAATAGTCAATCTTACAACTTGGAATAATGTAGAGCCAGAAAATATCTGCCTCCATTTATTAAAATAATAGTTACCTTTTTTTGTCTTTGAGTTAGCATTAAATCAATTTTAGATGGAGGTAGTTTCAGATAGAATGGTGGTTGGGTTCAGACCGTATTTATTAAGTCAGTTATCGTAGGGTTGGTGTGTTTTTTTTTTTTTTTCAATTGGTCTAAAGAATGGTGATTTTGGTATTATAGTCTTACCCTACAAAATCCTTTTGCAGACCAAGTTTTACAGGAAAACTCCAGTGATTTTCAATCAAACATTGCATAGGTAAATATTTTCTCAAAAAATATAATTTAAATTCCCAATAGCACATACTGATATGTTGTAATAACAATATTTTTTATAGCAGTGGCTCTCACTTAACTCCATGAAAGCTGCCATTTTGGGCACAGTGAGTTTCCTTTAGTCCAACTTTGGTCTCACTGCCCACCATGAATAGGAAAAGCACGAGAACTGCCCCTATGCTCCCTATTCATCATGCCATTCAATGGACACATTGTGAATGTTTTATGGTAAATTTTTTTAAAATGCCTTGTTTAGCTTAAAAAACATGAAGTAATTTTGCAATTTTTGAAAAACACTAGTTTTCCTTTAAACTTAATTTTCCATGTTGATCCTGAAGCATCCACTTAAATGGTAGCACAAGAGTCTGGCAAGTTGGTACTGCAGAGAAAAGGGGTTAATTGAGACTTGTTTGGAGTCGGGATGCCCCTTTCCCAAACATGCTTCTCGTCATTTGGACAGCAGCCATTTGTACTCGTATACTTTTTTAAACTTTTCTTGGAATGCGGAATATTTTATTTGCCTGATAAAGCTGCTAACTTCTCCTAACTTTGCACATTGGTGTCTTTGCAGGCAGCCAAGGAGCAGTGAACAGCAGCTACTACAGTAGTGGAAGCCGAGCGTCTATGGGAGTGAACGGAATGGGAGGGATGTCTAGCATGTCCAGTATGAGTGGTGGATGGGGAATGTAATTGATCCTGATCACTGACTCTTGGTCAACATTTTTTAAAGAAAAAAAAGTTTAACAGTTCTGCAGTACAAACTTGTGATTTATGCTTACTCTAAGTGGAAATCAGGATTGTTTTAAAGACTTAAGGTTCAGTATTTTTGAACACAGCGGTCACCCAGGATGTAACAGCAAAGTTGAATGAAAGATAACTGTTAAACAATTTTCAGCTTTTCTCAAGTTAGTTATATTGTAGGATGTACTTAAGCAGTAAGTGTATTTAGGTTAAAACAGTTGAATTATGTTAAATGTTGCTCTTATACAATATTATATTGAACACTGTTTGGATGCATGTTGAAAGACATGCTTTTTTTTTTTGTAAAACTCACTATAGGAGCTGTGTCTACAATTAAAAGTGAAACATTTGGCATGTTTGTTAATTCTAGTTTCATTTAATAACCTCTTAAGGCACGTAAGTTTAAGCTTTTTTTTTTTAAGTTAATGGGGGAAATTTTGAGACGCAATACCAATACTTTAGGATTTTGGTCTTGGTGTTTGTATGAAATTCTGAGGCCTTGATTTAAATCTTGTATCGTGATTTCATTTTTAGGTGTATTGCGCTAAGTGAAACTTGTCAAATAAATCTTCCTTTTAAAAACTGCACTTTGTCTTGTCTGTGCTTCAGTGTCATGTGGACTGTTTCTTGGTGCTCTGTTCCTGCCTGGGGCGTAGGTGACAGTTGGCCCATGGCCCACGTCTCTGGCTGTGGCAGAGAGGCTCGGCAGTTGAGGCTCTTGTGTAGATGTCTTCAGACTTCTCTTCCCTACAGTGCAACTGAAGGTAAACTGTTGTGGGGCCCTTTTGGAAGGCCTGTTAATGCTGGGCCTGGCTGCAGAGGACCTATTTGACCGGCCTTTGACTTGTTAAACTTGCACCAGAGGGAGAGGTGCACGTGCCCTAAAATGCATGTCTGCATGTCCCTTGGGCATGGCTACGAGTCCCAGAGGGCGGTCAGGACTGCTTAGAAGCTGCCCTTCCTAGTATGCGGGGCATCTTTTGAATTTTGCTTAATAATGTGTCTTTTGGGAGCTTGCTTAGAGGACTTGGAGGTTTTTGGGTTTTTTTTTTTTTTTTTTCTTTTTCCTGCCTCCCTGCCGGAAGACCAAGTCCTACTTTTGAAGAAATTCCCTATATAGTTCCTGAGAGCAAAGATGATTGGTAGACTGGAACTGAAGTGACATGTCATGAAATCTGTCAATATGGAACACCACGGATTTGTGTCATCATGCAGAGGCCATGCTAATCTTTGTATCGTTCCAATTTTAGTATGTATGTGCTGAGTTAATCTTTGAACAGTTTTTAAAAGATGTAATTCCAGAAACCCTTTCTGTGTAGGTACTTCGGTTTGGGAACTGCCACTTTATCTCTCTGGTCTCAAGTTAGCTTGAGATTAGAAGCCCGCGGAGTGGATGGTTTGTGTGCTGTTTGAAACCAGGTGTGTGTAGGTGTTTACTACTTGGACAGTGCGATTTCTTGTTCCTGCATGAGGCCTAGGTTTAGGACTGAGGCAAATTCCTTAGAATCATAATCATGTTCTAAGTATGATGTAAACAGCTTGAAGGGCCCTGTAGGTCTCCCCTGTCTAGTCAAGGACTGGGTGCAGGCAGGCTAGTCTAGCAGTTTGACTGCTTGGAAGGAAAGGCCTGCAATAGGATGGGGGTATAGAAGTGTTGCAAGTTTAGAGAGAATTGGCAGGGAGAGGAGGCAGGGTTGCATGCTGGTGGTAAGACTCATGGAGGCTTCTTCTGAAGTCCTTAAGCTGTTTTTCCCCTTGAATAAGGAACATCTTTCTTGAAAATGTGGCCTGTTTGGGGAAAAGGAGGGGCTAGAACTAGAAATTTGGGAGTAAACTAATCCAGAACCTATTGGTTTTGTCATTAGATATTCCACATTCTGGTTCTTTGGAAGCTTTTGGCTCCATGGACTGGCATTTGGGAGTTTAGGTCTTCATTTAACGTGACCCCATATACCCAAATCTTGCCCCCGGTAAACCCTGTGCATTTAATCTTCAGAAAGCTTTTGCCTTAGAACTTGTTCCTCATTGCCCAGGTCAGGGCGGATTACCAGGCGAGAGCCTGAGGGTACTAAGGTTCCAGGGGCATGTGAAGGTGTAAGTAGAAAAGTCATCTCTTCGTGTTTAGGATTGGTTACTTGCACGAGCACCCATTACGAATGCTCACTGAAAACTTAACTGCCTGGGGGTGGGGAGGTGCAGTTCAAGGAGAAAAGTGGGTATGTTAGAGGAAAGAGCAGGGAAGAAGTGGCACCCTGGTGGAAACACTTGCTGTCGGAAGCGTCTTGAAATAGGGAGGTATTATCCCACTGCCTTTTTTTGTATGTGCAGATGAGAGCTGAGGCTGTGAAGTGACTTGCCCAAGACTCCCCAGCAAGTTGGAGTCCAAATTGGGTGCACTGAAAAGGTACAGCTGTCTAAGACTAGTTTGGGGGGTAGTGCAGTGGTATGTAGACTGGGGAGAAAGCTGGGTCCTGGATAACAATAAAATCTGCTCAGGGTAAGTGAGGGCAGGGAAAGGAGTCCTGTGGAGGAATATGGCAGAGAAGCTGGTCAGCTTAGAAACCTGGTTGCATAGATTTGTGTTATCGAATCTTGCCAAATCTGTTTCCCACCCACAAACTAGATTTCAAGGAGAAACAGGTGTGTAGTCTTGACCCACGCTGTGGGGGAAGACTTACTGCTGGGGAAGCCCAAGAAGGAAGTGCGCCAGGATCTCAAGGTGGGAGTAGGATGCTAAGACTAGGCTAGATGACTGGTGGGAGGTGGAGCGTGACAAGGTGAGAGTCCAGCTGAGGGTGGAGGAGGCTGAGACCCAGCAGATCTTGGTATTCATCTGGACATTATGCTTAAGGTTCTTGACCCTGAACATTTCAGATATTGACTCCAGTCCAGGAGTACGGGGTACAGTGTACTCAGGTGGGGCTCTGGAGGACTACGCTGAAGCAGTTCAGTTGCTATAGCAACACACGAAATAGCACTGGGTTTGAAGTTCCTTATCCGTATTGTAAGGAAACAGCTTTTGAGCTTTAGTGATCGGTTTCAGGTCATTTCCACTGTGCCCTTTCATGAATTTGACGGGCAGCTTGCATAACCTGTGCCGTGCAACCCAGCAGGCCTCAACACAGGGCCCTTACTGATGGGGTTGCTGAGTCCTCCAGAGACAGCTCCTGTGAAGTGGACACAGGCTCCTTTACTTTTTTCTGGCACTCGGATGAAAAATAAATGATTTTATTGCATGGCAACAATGATGGATTCACAAGGGTGAAATGGCAGATTTCTTGACTGAGGAGAGAAAGGAACCCATTACTGCACTAGTACAACTGCTACAAAATGTTAATCTGAAAAGTGAAAAATGAGGACAGTAGCAAAATCATGAAGTTATATCCTAACCAAAGCCAGTGACGGAACGAAGAAAGGTTGAATTCAAAGGAATTCTATACAATTTAGAAAGGACACGCAGCTTCCAATCCTAATGCCCTTGAAGTGGCTGCAGCCCTGGCCAGGTTTTACAAGCCCCTACCCCCCTGAGACCCACAGTTTGGCACTGGCCCAGGGCTACCACCCCCAGCCCCCGAGACAGAACAGCACGCGGTGGCATAAGGTCCTGTGGATGCCCACCTAGGAGCCCGTGGAGGAGCAGCGCTGCAGCAGCAGGGTGTGGCAGCTGTCACACACACGCACCGGCTTGGGGTAGGAAGGGAGGGCCAGCTCATTGCTGGAGCAGGTGTTGCAGAAGATGTGGCCGCAGTTGCGGCAGTGGTGCTAGGGGACAGAAAGGACGTGGTTGTAGAGTCTGCTACACTCCAGGCTGCCATACCAACCCCGAATGATCTCTCCCCTGGAGGCAGTTACTGATGTATTTGGAAGGGGTTCTTCTAAATCTCTTTCTACATTTGGTCCCTGGAAAAATCTGTGGGATTGCTTGCAGAGGGACATACGGATGTATGAGTATGTTTTTTTCCCCCGATTTGAAAGTTGTTTCCTGGACTTGACAGTCCTTGGAAACAGCCTGTTTCATTCCTAGTGGTTGCGGTGTTTCATGATGGTGACACAAGATTTCTATAGCTGGCCTCTTCCGAGCAGGAAGTCTAGAGGTATATGGCCAATGCCAGCCACTAAGGGCCTATATGGGCCCTGCTCTTGGCTCTATGCTACTACTCCTGCCTTCGTCAGGCTAGATGGTGAACCTCGTTATTCTGGTGGGGGGCAATCTGTCTCCAGCCTCCAGCAGGCCTTGTGTTCAGTGGTGGATCTTAAAGATGGCCCCAGGACAGCAGTTTTGCCCTTCAACCCTATTGCAAGGCACGAACTAAAATTTGGGAGTTTCACTTCCTCTTCCACAGAGGAGCAGAGGAGAGCAAACATTACATGGCAAGATGAGAACACCTGGCCCCTCTCCGGCCCAGTGGATTAATCGAGGCCCTGTCACCCTGAAACAAAGGCTGGTCCCATGACCAGAACTTGAAGGCAGACTACATAGGCAGAGGCATACTGACTGGGGCAAGTGCCCTGCTCAGATTACCAGTGAGCTTTTGGGGTTCTTTTTGATGCTTGTTTTGAGAGCTGCTACCTGCCCCTTAGCTTCCCCATAGATTATTTTTTTGCCTTAATTAGCCAGATCCAGGGTCCTGCTGCTTACAAGGAGTTTTCAGCGGCATAATTACCTAGAGCAGTTATGCACACCGCCACTCAACTCCCAAAGAAATGTGCCATTTAACGTACTGTGGAGACAAGGCCTGTGCCTGGGCAGTTCCTGGCTAGGGCCCCTGCAAGAGGTAATCTGGGAAGCTGCATAGACCATCAACCCAGTGAAAGGGATCGCAATGTGGTGGGGCTGGTGCATGTGGCTTTTCCCAGAGCCAAAGGAAGGGAAGCCCCAGCAGGTCACCCCAACATACCTTTCTCCGGGAGATGGAGAATTCCTTTTCACACTGTTTACAGTGCGTTGCTTCATCATCTTTCAGCCAAGTATGTCCCTGAGGAGTAAAGAATACCACAGGAGCCCATTTTAGAGCTCTTCCAGAGCTGGTGTCCTGGCCTAGCACCTACTGTCCCTTTTCACTAAAGGTGGCCTCGCAGGACTAGCCCTTGCCCTGGCAGCTGGAGCTCAGGCTACAGACAGCCTGCCTTCCAGGTCTTGCCTCCAAACTCTGCAGGTGGTTTCCTCAAGTTAAGATTTTTGCTACCCTAGACACCTACCCACCTCCTTTCAGTGGAGGCCCTTGGAGGTAACTAGTCAGGATCTGGGTGTTGCACATCAAACCCTGGGGTAAGAGGCTAGCCAATGAGGCCAGGTGAACTGGCAGGAGGGAAAAGGGCCCACTGACAGCCAGACCAGAACAGTGGCAACGGGGGTTACTTCACACATGCCAGACCTAAGCTGGAGGCAAGCAAGGCTTTCAAAGATGCCTTTTTGGAGGTCTCTTGAAGGAACATATTGGTGGTGGTGGTGGGGGGGGTGTTACCCAGTCTCAAACTGAACCCTTCAAAGGGATCGCAAACCTGATCCTTTCTGGCTCCTTCACACACTTAAGATAGATCTTGACACTTCCCATGCTTACAGCTTCCTGTCACATAGCTCCCATTGGCTCTAGAGTCCCACTTAGGTGGTTATCCTCCCTCTGGTACTGCTGTCATTTTGCGCCAACACTGTGCAGTGCAAGGGCTATGACAAGCAGACCACAGCAATTGTGCAAGGGGCTCAGTCTGTCAGGGGGGAGTAAGTGGACAGGAAGTCCAAGTTCAGGCTGCTGTTACTTGCTGTGACCATCTGTTACCTGTTACCAGGCAATTTACTTGTCAGATGCTTAAGAGACATCAGGGTTTCTGCTCCAGGCTAGGCTGGAGGGCCCCATGTGGAGGAGGGCTGCCCGTGTACTGCTGTCACCAGGAGCTGCGGCTCCGGACATCTCCCACCGGCTAGGCCAGCTTGGTATGCGCACACTGCTCAACATGTGCTCTTTAAGTGAGTCATTCTCCCCCTAAATGGTCCAGGATCTTGGCCCACCTTAGAGTTTAAGTGGTCCTCAGAATTGGAAAGGGATGCTTGACATTAGTGTGAACTGACTGAGCAGCCATAAGCAGTGATTCTTATGCTAATAATGATGTTTCAGTACCTTCAGTGCTTTGTTTACTTCTTTTATGTCTTCCATCTTCAGTTTTGACCTTAAAAAAAAATTCATAGCAGTAAGAGAGACTAAAACTCAAAGCAAACCTACAGCAATTGCTTAGCTTTGCAAGGGTGATGGGTCACGTGTGACAGGAGTACACCAACTGTTATACTTCCCACCTTTCTAGAATCCCAGAGATACCTCAACACATTGGCTCCCATATCTACTGTGGGATGGGGCTGAGCCTGTCCCAAGATTGAAGAAGACAAATGGTTGCAATCACTTAGAAATTGAGCGTTATCGCACAGAAGACCAGATTTCTTGCTTCTCTGTGCAACCATTCCTGAGTATGACAAGGGCTCGGGGGTTGGGGAGGCTGCCCCTTTATCAGATTTTGCAGGTTTTCCCCCAGCCCCTTTCCTGCTGCCTGTTCAGGCTAGAAAGTTGTACTCAGAACAGTTCCTCGATTATCCACATAAGAGGTGGAACATGGTCTAAATGTGCAGAATTAAATAGGACGAAATACCATTTTACTTATAATTCAGGGGGGACTTGTCTGAGTCCTTAAAAGCTGAGATTAGACTAAACTCACTAGATGAGCCTAATCAGTGTCAGAGTGGCAGGGCTTTGAGACATGGGCTATATTTCTAAGAGAGGATTAAGAAACTGAGCATCAGGGCCTTTAGGAAAAATCCTGTTGCCTTCAGTGATGACTGTAGGGCTCTTCCCCTACCTGGGCCAGCTGCAAAATAGGCCAGCAGGTGGACAGGACTGGAGGCTGCCCAGGATGGACAGACCCAGGGAAACTAGATCAGATGGCAGTCTGAACATGTACTTCCCTGGAAATACAGCTCTGGAAAACTCCAGATGTTCTCAAGATAAAGAAACGGCAGGTGTGTAGCTGGTGGAAGGCCCTGAGAAGAGCCTTTTTCTTCTGTCATCTGGTACGGGCTTGTAAGAGGAGACAGGAAAGAAGGGAAAATGCACAAAGGGAACTCTTTACACCGCTCTCTGGGGTCACAAAGTCCGGGACATGGCAACACTCTGGCAACTTGCCCGTGAGTGACATTCTGAAACCTAAGTCTGGTGGCACTGGGACCACCACTTGCAGAGGCGCTTTTTCAAGACTAGCCCATTGTTGTTCATCCAATGTGAAAGAGTGAGTGGAGAAGTGGTGCTAGCTGGCCACCTGAGAAGGGCACCCACATCAGGAAGCCGCCTCTCAATACCACCACAAACCCAAGAGGTCAGAGACTTGCTGGCCTCCACGCCTGGTGTTTTTTAGCCTTATGGGGCCCCTCAGCTGGGCTGTGCCCTGAATGTGGCAGACATTGACCTAGTCTGCTCTCAAGAAGCACCCCTCACAGCGGGGTCAGTAGCTCTGAGCAGGAGAGGATGGAATGGACATCATCTTCACCTCACACTATTTCAAAAGCCCACATTTTCATTAGAGTCATGACATTCTCCTTATTTTTTAAAAATGCTTCTGTGGCCTGGCCCACAGCACCACTCTAGACCTTCCAGCTTTTTAGACTCAGAAAATTCTGATAGTTGTGTGTACCTGCCTACTTCAATGTGTTCCTAGCCTATTCTCATTAACCTTCATTGCTGGGCCTTTTCTGGGCATGGTAGTGCTGGCCCTGAGCCATGTCACCCTGCACGGGCACTAGACTGGTGGGAGCAGTCCCCTGTAGAAATGACAGAGAAAGGGGAACTTGTATTCCTCTGACAGATGCCATCGGTACTGATGTCAGTCAACCTTACTGTGAGTTATGAAGCAGGCCGGTAGAGGTGGAAGACAGACTGATGCCTGATGCCATTTTTTGCTTAAAAATGGCCAAGTTTTACAATGTAACCAGTGTAACCATTAGATTGTCCAGAGCTACCTGGCAGGACTGGAGTAGCAGGTAGGAGAGCTGTCAAGTTGGGGGAGACAGAAGTACCAAGCTCTGTGCTGCTTTAGCACAACCAGCGAGACAGACAAGACTCTTCAGAGGCGAATCTCTAGTCCCAGAGCAAGCAGGTGATTCCCGTGCTTGCTCCAGGGCATGCTATGGCAGCTGAAATTTGGCTGGGCTGACTTCAGGCCCACAGAGCTAACTGCTCAACTCCCATCTGGCTCCCTTGGGACCTAGATAGCGCATGAACACGAGGGCTCCGGTCACTAGAAAAGGATATTCTTAATAAACTGCAGTCATGTTGCTTAACAGTGGGGATGGTTCTGAGAAATGTGCTGTTAGGTTGTGATGTGGGAATGTCCTGGAGTATAATCACACACACCTGAATGGCAGGGCCGACCCGAAACCTAGGGAGTGGGGTACAGCTTACTGGGACCACTGCCATACATGCGGACTGTCTGACTGAAACTGTTACATGACACGTGACTTTCATCAAGTCAGCGCTGTGTCCCCGAGACCTGATTTCCTGGGGGTCACCCCTGGGCCACTGGCTGTGTTTCTAATTGGCCCTTCCTCCTTAACGCCAGAATGCAAGTTTGGGGCTCGGGTACTGTGGCGGGCAGGCTGGTGTGACCCTCCCCAAGGTGAGGGGCCCATTTGCTCTGATGGAGCGGGGTTCTTACTGGCTGAGGTGCAGTCCCATTTCCTGGAGGGCTTGTTCCTGCTCATCACACACCTTCTGTAACTCTGCCTTCTCATCCTGCAGCTCCCGTAGCTCCTAAAATGAACAAACCAGTTGCTTGACACAGGATTTAAAGTTCTCTTTCTTTTAAGGCTTAGTAATCAGAACAAGTGGGTCAGAATGTTTTTCAAGAGCAAAAAGTATTTTTGTTGTGTTAATGTCATTAAAAGGGTTTTTTCACAGCTCATTTCCCATTAGCTTTTCTCAGACAGCTGGAGGTTGAGCCTCACGGGAGCGGTTCTGCAGCAGGCAGTGAACTGGTATGTTCCGTAGGCACAATCAAACATTTTTAACAGACGACTACCTCAAAATATACAGGTGACCCTTACACAAATGATATGAAATCTGCCAGTGTGAAGGCTAGTTTGAAAAAACTGGTTTTTTTGAAAAGGCTTGTCAAAATTTCCGGAGAATGAATGAGCAAGGCTGAGGTAAGGAATGATCTCAGTCACTGCCTAAGCAGCAAGACCTGATGGCCGAGAGCAAGCCTGGCAGCCATGTATGTGGAGAGTGGAGCTGCTGAGGACACACTGATGACAATGGTTTCTCACTGCAGCACCTTGAGAACAAAGGCTGGTGAGGGCCAAGATGAAGACCCAGAAAAGTCACTTGGGGTTCAGTGGGCAGCAGTGGGACTGAGACTGCTCCAGCCTGGGGACAGGCATGCAAGGCGCTCGGAGGCTGACTGCTGAACTGAGACAAGTCATTTTGTTACTTTGGGTGGATGTTGGGGTAGGGGGGAGTTCAAATTTTAGACCAATATATTTTGGAGTAAAGGAGACATGTTCCTTGACACAGCAGAACTTCCTAGACGTCCTCTTGCCTTCTGTTTCCCTTCCTTCCCTCTCTGAGCCTGAGCTGGCTTTTGAGGAACCTCTCCCATCCCCAGCGCTCCCCACCCCAGTTCTAGTGGACTCTCTTAAAAGGGGCTCTAGGAACTTTCCAACAGAAATCAAAAGGTCTTTTCTTACCTCAGATTGCATGGTAAATCCCCACTGCTATGTTCAAAAAGTGAAAGCAAGGCCTAGAAGCTGCCCCAGCCCAAAGGATCCTCTGGGAAAGGAATAAGCAGGAAGGCTGCCAATGGCGCGGCAGACCCGGGAGTCTGGTGCAGAGGCTATACCAGTTCCACAGGGAGGGGCTGTGGAGGCCAGATGCAACCCCAGCTCCCTGGGCTGCAGTCAGCTCCAACCACAACTGCTGGTACCCTCCTGCCTCCTGGGGAGGAGACAGCTTGATGATTTTAGAGTAGGAAAAAACTGTAGCCTTAGCTGTTTCCTGGGTAGTCTAGGTCTAGCTATAAAATCAGATGAAGATGCCATGCTGGCATAGCCGCATCCTCTCGCTTTTTGAAGCTTCACCATAGGATACAAGTGGGGCCTAAGATCACCCCAGGTGTAGACTAGATTCGGGTTTAGACCTAAGGGATGGAACAGACAAAGGTCTAGTCTCAGGGAGATTTGGGGATCTGGTTCAGTCAACTTCCCAGGAATGAGCCAGGAACTGTGGTTCTGGGAACCAGGATACCTGGCCCCACACCTCTGGGATAAGCTGTGGACCAGCATTTGCTCGAAATGTTTCCTGGTTACTCCAGTTCCCTCTTAGAAGCCTGCCATTCACCATGGAGTAGCTAGTGGTTGTCTTAAAGTGAAACGATCAGGTCCCTTAACAGCTTCCTAACATGCTTGGAATAAAATCCAAATCCTGTAAAGCTTTGAGGGCCTGTGGCTGGCACTCTGCCTACCTAAGGCTATAGCTCACGTGCTGCTTTCTTCTGCTCACCATACCTCAGTCAAGTGGCCCTTCTGCTCCCTCAGTGAGACACCCTCATGCTTCCTGGTGCCTCTGTCTGAGAGGTTCTTTGCCCAAATCTCTGTGTAACTCTCTCTCTCTCTTCCGAAGCTACCCTGCCCCATGTGGGGGCACTTTCCTTTTATTCTCTCTCTAGGGCACATCACTGAGTCCACCTGCTTCCTCACTGGTGCGTGATCTGTCTTTGCCTTTTCCTTGTCCAGCAGAAGCCGGAGGGAAGGGGAACAGAGCCCCAGCCCCAGTAAGCCACGCTTCCCTCACTGGGGTCATGAGTCATGAGTCGTGTGTGTGTCTCTCTTGGAGGCTAATTTAACAGGGGACTCTGGGGTCACTAGATGCTCTTTCTGGGACAGCCCTCTTTACCTTTTTTAAACCTTCTACTTGTTGCAGCTCTGTCTGGAGCAGGGAGGAGGTGTCCTTTTCATGTTGTAATTCTCGCTGAAGAGTTTGTCTCTGTTCTTTTTCTGATTTCAACTCTTTCTCTAGACTTGAGCTGTATTCCCAAAATAAACTTGAGTTAGTCTCCATGGGAGATTTTCATGGAAAACCCACAATCCAAATCACCAAACAGAAAATAAGGACTTCAAGGGAATCTGAATTGTCATATGCGCATCTGTCAGGCCCTTCAAGAAAGCATGGAAACAAGGCTTCCTCTCCCCAGGGCTGCCTGCACCTCCCTAAGAAACTAGAACTCAGAGGAGGAAGCAGTGCAGGCACACACTGGACATTTAACGCAACTGGAGAATGGAAAAGGCTCTAAAACAATTAGGATCCCACAGGTAGAAACGTCTACTGGGTAGGAGGCTGAGACCCAACATTGATGCTTTTTCCCGACCAGAGCTAGCTGATATGAAAGATATTTGGGGACAGTTGGGGAGAAAGCTACTGAAGGTCAGGAGTAAATCTCAGCTGAATCCTGATACCTGCTCACCAGCTAAGTAACCCTGGGCACATTACTGACCCCCTCGTAACGGGTTTCCCCCTTTGTGAAAACGAGTAGAGACATTTCTCTTCATTGGGGTTTTCACTTGGCACCCAGTGCCCTCCTCCTGAGTCCCGCCTTGTAGGGGTGACCTCTGAAGTGGGACAGTATCTGCCCCTGGTCAGAAGACGGCCTTCCAGTCCCCTGCTGCTGAGGCCCTGCCGCTCCTACCACTTCTCGTGCAGCTGGGAGAGCTGCCTCTGCAGCGCGTCGATCTTCCCACCCAGCTCCTGCTGTAGCCGGCGGCTCCTCTCCTCTGCCCCCTGCCTTGCCCTCTCGGAGTGCTGCAACCTAGACCAAGAGAACCAAACCTATGTGAGGAACCAGCCAGTCCCCATTACTTGTGGTACGGTTTGTTGATATTTTTGCTGACTTAGATTTTTCTTTCATATTTAACTTAAGATAAACACAGCACAATCGACCCTTGTATGTCCAGGCTCCTTGAGCTTCAGCACATGTAGAGATGGTGGCATCATGGCAATCAGGATACAGAATAGTTCTATCATCCCATGAAACTCTAGTGCTGCCCCCTGTAGCCATACCTTCTCCTCACCTCTAACCCCTGGCAACCACTTATCTGCTCCGACACCACAGCTTTGTCTTTTTGAGAATGTTTTATAACTGTAATAATACTTCATATAACCTTTTGAAACTGACTTCTTTCGGTGTAATGTTTTTGACATCAACCCAAGCTTTTGTGTGTATCAGTGATTCATTCCTTTTCCTGGCTGAGTAGTAGTTCATCATGCAGATGTACTGGTTTGTTTATCCATTCACCTAATGAAAGATTATCTTAGTTTTTGGCAATTAGGAACAGAGCTGCTATAAACATTTCTGTGTGAACTTTAGTTTTCATTCTCTTGCACAAATAGCTAGGAGTGGGATTGTTGGGTCAGATGGTAAGAGTATGTTTAGCTTTTTAAGAAACTGCTTTCCAAAGTGGTTGTGCCATTTTACATTCCCACCAGTAATGATGAGAACTCCAGTTGTTCCCGTACTTGGTAATGACATTGAAAAATGTGCAGTGGTATACGCTATTTTAATAGGTGTACTGTTTCTCATTATGTTTTGATGCATACTTCCCTAATGGCTGATGAGGCTGACTATCTTTTTGTATGTTTACCTGTCATCCATGTGTCCTCTATGGTGAAGAATCTTTTGTTCATTTTATTTATTTATTTTTTAAGGTTTATTTATGGATGCATACAAGAACTGGGGTACAGGCCGGAGGTGTGGGGTGGGGAGTGAGAGGATTCACCAGAGACAGAGTGGGGGAGCAGAACAGGTGGGACTGACTGAAATACACTGCTGAGGGGAGCAGCGGGTGAGACAGGAGAGGTCTGTGCCATGTGGGTCACCTCCCTGGCCAGCCGGGGAGCAAACTCATGCTGTAGAGGCTGCGGATAGTTTCAGAGTCTAAGACTTAATCCTTGTGCCAACAAGGAGGCCCTCTTTTGTCATTCTTAAAAGTGCATTCTTAGGGGCATCCCTGGTGGCCAGGAGTTAAATCTCAGCATTATCACTGCTATAGTCTTAGTTCAATCCCTGGCCAGGGAGCTGAACTACATATGGTGTAGCAGACCTCCCCTGTCTCATCTTACTTAGATAGCAGTGTGTCTAAGTAAATGCCTATTCTGCTCCCTACTCTGTCTCTGGTGAGTCCTCTACCCCCTGCCTGCATTTCTGACCTACACCCCAGTTCTTCCACACAAAAATAAATAAAATCTTTAAAAGTATAAATAAAGTGGATTGTTACATTTTAGAAGTTCTTTATATATTCTGGATGTAAGTCCTTTGTCAGATATGTGACTTGCAAGTTTTCTCCCACTCTATAATGTCTTTTTTCTTTTTTTTAAAGATATATTTATTTTTATACAAGAGCTGGGGTATAGGCCAGAGGCGCGGGAGGGTAAGAGGATTCACCAGAGATAGAACGGGGTGCAGAGCAGGCAGAAGGACCAAAATATACTGCTGAGGGGAGCAGCGGGCGAGAGCAGGAGGTCTGCTTCACCATGTGGGATTCTCACTGGCCGGCCGGGATCAAACCCTCACTACAGAGACTGCGGACAGCTTCACAGTGCTGTGCTCAACCCACTGCGCCATCAGGGAAGCCCTCTATAATGTCTTTTTGCACTTTTAGCCATGTATTTCACAAAACAAAAGTTTTAAATTTTGATGAAGTCCAAATTACCAAGTTTTTCTTTTATAGATTGTGTTTTTATGTCACCTAAGATCGCTGCCTAATTCAAGGTCATAAAGATCTTTTAGTTTTCTTCTAAAAGTTTTATACTTTTATATTTAGACTTAATATCCATTCTGAGTTCTTTTTGCATAAGATGTGAGGTACAGATTGAGATTCATTTTTTGGCTTACGGATGACTAATTGTTCCAACATCACTTATTCAAAAGACTATGCTTTCTCCATTAAATTGCCTTTGCACCTTTGTAAAGAATCAGTTGCCCATATTTGTGTAGGTCTATTTTTAGACTATTCCACCCCACGACTGACCTGGTATTGAAATGTGACAGTGACAGGAGCTCACTGTGTAATCCTCATCCTCTGAGAGGACAATCTAATGCAGTAGTCAAAAAGCTGATTAAGTGAATATAAGCATAAGCAAAACTGGCAAATCTGGCTTTCTGGGGAAGGCTATGGGCCGGCAGACAGCCATCCAAACCCTTCTGTACTTTACAGAGTGACTGAGTTTAAGTTCCCAAGTCCAACACCATCTATGGACTATCTGCTGTGGGACGTGATTACCTTTCCTCCATTTGTTTCATACTGGACATAGCTTGACTGGTTTTTTCTTCAAAAGACGTGATAGTGTCATTCTTCTGCTGTAAGTTGCTCTCTGCAGTCTATAAAGGCAAGGAAAAGCGTTCACACTCAGCCTCTCCTTTCACTTAAGTGGGGTTTAACTCTTCACCTTGTACTTTTACAAAATGTTCAGGGATATTCCTTAATTGCTGCTCTTCCCTAGAGCCCTGGAAGAAAACCAGGCCACAGTTCCTAGCTTTAGCAACAAAAAAGAAAGGCAAAGAGGGAGGTAATGAAGTCTTCTTCTTTTATCCCCTAGAACAGCCCATGCTTCTTTTTGTAAAGGAAATTCAGGGTTAGATCTGTCTCAGCACTACAGAGCTATTCTCATTTGGCATGCATATTTATAGCTCTATGGCAGGTGCTGTTAGCACCCACTTTTCTGAGCAAGAGAGAGAGAGAGAGAGATGTTCAAAATGAGGAAGCACCTGGGTGAAGCTAAGAGTATAATCTCAGGGTAGAGCTGGTTCATACACATGAGTGTGATTATCTGAGTCTAGGCTTTTAATCATAGCCTGTATGTCTGTAAGAGACACTTTCAAAATAAAAGAATACCAAAGGTCGAAGATAGAGTAAGACCTAGTAAATTCCTAAGAGATGATATAGGGACTGTATTTACTGATCTTAATAGTAAAATTAGACATTAACAAAAGAACAGCTAAAAAAAGTGGCATGTTATGAAAAAACTACTCACCCAAAAGAACAATCCAAAGAGAAATTATGAAATACTTAGAACTAAAGAGAATAAAAGCACTGTGATATTTCTGTGTACTAAAGTGAGTATAGGATGCATGCTAATTTTATTTTTTTATTTTTTAAAGATATATTTATCCATACAAGAGCTGGGGTGCAGGCCAGAGGTACGGGGGTACGGGGAGAAGATTCACCAGAGACAAAGTGGGGAGCAGAACAGGTGGACTGATGAAATACACTGTTGAGGGGAGTAGCAGGCGGGAGTAGCAGGCAGAAGTCTGCTGCGCCATGTGGGTCAGCTACCTGGCAGGGGATTGAACACGTGCTGCAGTAGCTGCAGATTGCTTCATAGTGCTAATGTGTAACCCCTCGTGCCACCAGGAAAGCCCCTACAGTATTTTTAAATAAATCAGTCAAGTAGGATTCTAGGGCTGTAAATCTATCAAACTATATCACAACATAAGTAAGGGAGAAAATGAACATGGTTGTCACTATCGATAAAATGAAAAAAAATTTACTGATGTTCAATACTTATTTATGATAAAACATCTGAGCAAACAAGAAACAGAAGGGAACTTTTTTGACTTAGTAAATATTACATAACAAACATCTAGCGACTATTATACGTAATGGAGAAACTTATGTATATTTCTGTTAAGGCCAGGGCCACAAGTTTGCTAACTATTTCTACTACTAATGTAATCTTAGAGGCCCTGGTGAATGTTATATGAAAAAAAAACAAGAAATAAATATGAAAATTTAAGAGTGAAGAGATTAGGGCCTCCCCAGTGGTGCAGTGGTTGAACGCTGGATTGCGAAGCTGCCAGCAGCCTCTACAGTGTCAGTTCGATCCCTGGCCGCAAGGCGAGGGTCCCAAATGGCGCACAGACCTCTCCTGCCATGCCCGCTGCATGCCAGCAGTGTACTTCATCAGTCTGCCTTCTCTGTTCTCCCCTCTGGCTCTGGTGAATTCTCTTACCCTCCTGTGCCTCTGACTGTACCCAATGCTTGTATAAATTTAAAAAAAAAAAAGTGAAGAGATTAAACTGTCTTTGACTATAACATGATCAATTACATCTAAAACCAAGAGGATCAACTGATAAACTATTAGAACTAGTTGGTGAGCAAGGCTATCAAACACAAGATCAACTTGAAGGTACACTAACACTTTTTCTACACCAGCAAGATCTAACTAGAGGATGTAACCAAAATAAGGCACCGCTCACATTAACAATTAGAACTATAAATTCATCTGCAGAAAATGCAAAGACCCTATGAAGTAAAGAGAATAACAGAAGATAAAGAATATCTGAATAAATGAAGAGTACCCCCTGCTACTGGTTGGAAAGATACAAGTCACATTTTTCACAATTTAATTTATAAATTTAATGTAATTCTTTCCCTTCCTTCCCTCCCTCCCTTTCCTACCTCCCTCCCTTCCTTCCCTCCCCCTTCCCCCCTCCTCTTTCTTTCTTCCTTTCTTTCCTTTCTTTCTTTATTTCTTTCAGCACTGGGTATAGTCAGAAGCACAGGAGTGTGAGAGGATTCACCAGAGCCAGAGCAGGGAGCAGAACAGGCAGAAGGACTGAAGTACACTGCTGAGGGGAGCAGCGGGCGCGGCAGGGCAGGAGAGGTCTGTGCGCCATGTGGGACCCTTGCCGGCGGCCGGGGATCAAACCTGCGCTATGGAGGCTGCGGGCAGCTTTGCAACCCAGCGCTCAACTGCTGTGCCACCGGGGAGGCCCTAATGTAATTTCTATTTATGAAATTCAACTGGATTTTTACACATGTATTCTAAAATTTTTATTAATAAAGGTTTACAATGGATAAGTCAATGTTAAAAGAGAAAAAAAGGGCAAAGAGGGCGGGCTTATCCCACTGTGTTGGGGGTTCAGTTGTATCCTTCCCAAATCCAAGTGTCTCACACAATGTGACCTTATTTGGAAAAAGGGTCACTGCAGACATTAGTTAAGATGAGGCCATACTGGAGTCGGTGCAGGCTTAACTCAATATGATGGGTGTCCTTCTAAAAAAGGGAAGTTTGGACAGACATGTACACAGGGGGAAGACCATATGAAGACAAGGGCAAAGATGGGGCTGAAAAGTGCTGCAGATGAAGGACCCAGAAGCCAGGAGAGAAGGTGGAAACAGATTCTTGCTCAAAGCCTCAGGAGAAACAAACTGTCCTGACACGCCTTATGCTCAGACTTCCGGTCTCCAGAACTGTGAGACAGGACATTCTGTTAAGCCACTCAGGCTGTAGCACTTTGTTAGAGCAGCCCCAGCAAACTCAGACAGCTGGCCAAACACTGAGACATGGTAATTAAAACATTAAGTAAGGAAAATGCAAATGAGTTCACCTAGGAAACAAGGAAGTACTCAAAAAATGGATGGCAACATCTCAAAAGAAATAGAAGCCAACAGCAAGGGTTTCCGTTGATTAACTCTGGGGCAATTTATTATTTATTTATTTATTTATTTATTTATTTATACAAGCACTGGGTACAGTCAGAAGCGCGGGAGGGTGAGAGAATTCACCAGAGCCAGAGCAGGGAGCAGAGCAGGCAGAAGGACCAAAGTACACTGCTGAGGGGAGCAGCGGGCAGCAGGAGAGGTCTGCGCGCCATGTGGGACCCTCCTCCGGTGGCCTGGGAGCAGCCAGGGATTAAACCGGCGCTGCAGAGTCTGCGGGCAGCTTCGCAACCCAGCGCTCAACTGCTGCACCACCGGGGAGGCCCTATTTTTTTGATTTTTAAAGATTTTTATTTATTTATTTACACAAGAACCGGGGTACAGGCCAGATGCACGGGAGGGTGAGAGGATTCACCAGAGACAGAGCGGGGAACAGAACAGGCAGACTGACTGAAATACACTGCTGAGGGGAGCAGCGGGTGAGACAGGAGAGGTCTACCATGCCATGTGGGACCCTCGCCAGCAGGCCGGCCAGGATTGAACTGGTGCTGCAGAGGCTGTGGACAGCTTCACAGCACTGCGCTCAGCTGCCTGAGCCACCAGGGAGGCCCTCTGGGGCAATTTAAACATCAAAATAAATACTGATTATTAACAGATTATAACCCATTGAATCAATTTTTGCTTCACAAATCCATTTGATGTAAATAATAAATGAGTTGAAAGTTCGACGGGGAAGAGATTTTTACAGAATTTCAGTAAGTTCCCACAATACACCTACTAACTACAAAGGAAAATGGGTAACTTTGAGTGCAGATGCTTGGCACACAGCTCCTTAATCGAGAGCCCCAGTAATGGGCTAAACTATAACTTTTCCCTGGATAGAGTGCATCAGAACACAGGATCCTTTCTGAGGGCTTCTGCCAAAGATGAATCATCTGAATGTGGGTGCTATGTACCATTAGGGAAACAAATTGATGAACGTTGTATAAAATAATGGACTTACAATTTTCATAAGTGTCAAAGTCCAAAGTCTAAGAAAGATTGAAAAACTACTCAAGATTAGAGAGGACTAAAAATGATGACAATTAAAAGCAATTTATGATTAGTAAATGAAATCTGCTTAAAAAGACATTGCTAATTACAGTGTATTTCAGTCCGTCTGCCTGTTCTGCTCCCCACTCTGTCTCTGAATCTTCTCACTCTCCCGTGCCTCTGACCTGTACCTTAGTTCTTGTATAAAAATAAATCTTTAAAAAAAAAAAAAAAAGACATTGCTAATTAATGGTGTGGTGAAGGACAGATTTGGACTTTCAGCAGTGAATTTAATGTGGTATACACACATGTTGATCCTCAACAATGAACACCTGAAATTGATATGTTATAATACAATGTTATTTTAACAAAAATCTGAGTACATATGAATGAACACACACACACACACACACACACCCCCCTAAAGACAATGCTGCGAAAAATGGCGAAATTTGAGTGGGACAGAATTAGATGGTGGTATTAAATGTAAAGCCACTTCTGTGGAGAATGAAGTGGATTGCTGTGGCAACAAAACAGCTAACAGAGCTTCAAAAAAAGAAGTTTTGTGAACAGAAATTGAGGTCTGAAAGACAAGGAATCTTTATAATTTTTAGATGCTATCTTTCAAATCTGGCACAACTGATTCTTTCTGGGCTACTTCCCCTTGACCACTCTGACATGACAGGAGAGGTAAGCAGTGAGCAAGTAGCCTGCAGATTCAGGAAGATGAAATTTATTAAGGCAACGCTTGAAAAGGCAGCACTAACTTCTACCCTTGCTTTATTTCTTGGTACAAGGATTAGTCACTAAAATTGATGGTAACAGCAGGAAAACTGGTGAAGGTACAACAGGAAAATTCAAGTTTGGATTCAAAAGACACAGTCTGCTTCTCAGCTCTAGTTACCAGCTGTGCCAGCAGAGGCATAAGATTTAGTCACTCTGTTCTGCCTTGTCACTTACATTTCCCTCCATTTTAGAAACTTTTCTCAGGGATTGCTGGGAGACTTAAATGCAGTCACGTAACAGGGCTGAGGACCACGGCTGACATGTATCAGGACGGCACAGCTGTGCCTATTCTCTCCCTCTACTGGAGGCTGAAGTACAACTGAAAGGCAGCACATCTTGAGCTCACCCCTTAGAGACAAGCAGCAGGGAACCAGACTGGGAATATGAACACGAAACCAGTGCCCACCTGAACTTTGTGAAACATCTGTAAATTAATCGCTTTGACTTCTTCCAGCTGCTGGCGGAGGGCAACTAGTGTGTCCTGCTTCTCATGGGTGTCCTTTTCCAGTAACTTCATTGCAATTTCCATTTCAGTTTTCAACCCGATTTGTAGCTCCAGTTCTTTTTCTAGTTCCTAGGAAAAAAAGTTGACTGTTGTTAAAGTAGATCACAGAAATGTATTTAACAGGAAATGCCTAAAATATAAACGGGGTCAGATTAGGTTAGGGAGGTTTAGAAAAGTCTGTTTGGAGCATAATTAGATTTTTTCTTTTTTTTTCATTTTACAATGAAAACTGGCTCTATATCAAGTCAACAGAAAGCTGGTAGGTGGTAAACATGAAATTACAGTCTAACAATCATGTTCTTCATAATCTGGGGTTTGTTTCTAAGATCCATACACATGGCTCAATAGGATATCTGTCTTGTATGTGAGTGCTAGAAGTGATCTGATATTGCCATGTCACAATTTCTGAATCGGTTTGTTAATTTATGGCAACAAGGAGTCAACCATTTTGAAATAGTTCTGACCAAGAGTTACCAGCTGTATTGTTAGAAAAAGCACAAGTTTGTCTCACAGAGATCCCTGAAAAATATTTATGAAATTGGGAAAAATGCAGAATTGAGTGGTAAATATAGCCTTTATTTATTTACTTAATAAGGTCAGTTTCTGACTTTGTGTGTCAACAGGTTTAAGTATGTGAAAATGCTTTTCATAGAAATAACTTAGAGGGCACCTGGGGAATTCTTTCTAAAGACACTCAGGCTCACATACTCACCAAATGAATTTTCTTCTCCTCTTTTAGCTGCTTCCACACATCACTATACATTTCATCTAGGCCCTGACGGGTTTGCTTGTAAGTCTCCAGCTCAACTTTTGTATCCTGTTTTGTTATCTGTATCAGACAAGAACATCAAGCTTACCACAAAATATTTTTTTTTTTTTTTAAATTTTTTTTTTAGAGGCATGTTTTTTTTTTTTATTTATTTGTTTGTTTGTTTTTTGTTTATACATGCACTGGGTACAGTCAGAAGCGCAGGAGGGTGAGAGAATTCACCAGAGCCAGAGCGGGGAGCAGAGCAGGCAGAAGGACCGAAGTACACTGCTGAGGGGAGCAGCGGGCAGCAGGAGAGGTCTGCGCGCCATGTGGGACCCTCCTCAGGTGGCCGGGGAGTAGCCAGGGATCGAACCGGTGCCGCAGAGGCCGCGGGCAGCTTCGCAACCCAGCGCTCAACCGCTGCGCCACCCGGGAGGCCCACCACAAAATATTTTAAAACAATTCTTTTTAAATGCAGTATGTTCTGTTTTTTAAAAGCATTATAGAGAAAGGTAAACATTTGAAGTTATTTTGAAATGTCTTTCAATTTGAAGGATGACCGCAAGTCAAAAAAGATTTTTTGAAAAGTTAGGTTCCTAAAACAACTTATATTTAATTTTCTTTAAAACACAACTATGGTCCTTACTGGTAAAGTTCCCAATGTAATCCACCGCTCTGTATTTGTTGAGCATGTTTTTAGCAGTGGGTAAATTTTGTGATTAATCAGATATGATCTCTACTTTCAAATCATCAGGTGAGATAACTACAAGTCAGCATTTCCCCAAAACAGTAAATAAATTCAGTAGGGAGGGAGATACAAAGAGCTGTGGCACAGACAACCTGGCATGTGAATGGAATTGAAGAGTGAATAGGAGCTTTCTTGTGCAAAGGCCCAGAGGCCAGGGAGCAATGTGCTTGGAAAGTTCCAAGTGGTCTAGGGCATCTGAGTCACATGTGAGGCCACAATGGCAGAGGCACTTTCTGGCATCAAACAAGGCATTTCTGCACCATCTGAGGTTATTATTTGGCCATGAGCTTGAGACTGGTGATGAACATGTCAGAGAAAAACAGATTACCAACCGTGAGGTTAATTTCTTACCTCGACGCTCTTTTCACTTCTTTCACGTATTAATTCATTTTGTTCTCTTAATTGTTGCTGTTCTTCTTGAAGTGAACAAATCCGGTCTGTTGCAGCAGAAAGCTGATTAAGAAAGAGTTTTACAATTTCTTAGCATCAAAATTAATCTCCCTGTTCAAATTAAAAACTGACAATTTGGCATTTTCACAATTTATAATGTATTTTGCATATTTGATCGTTTAATCTCCTTGATTTTTGATAGATTAATTTCCTTGTTTTGATTAGGTAATGCATATGTAAGGTTCAAATTCCAAACACACAGACATGTATATTAGAAAATCCTTCTCCCATCCTTGCCCCTAGCTATCTCTACCCTCCCCAAATTTTTCTCCCCTTTTATAAAAATGAAAGCATACTACTTAATGTGGGCAAAGATCTACATACACATAAAATTAGGATCAGTCTAAATGCCCAATATCAAATACATGGTTTAATAAATTATAATGGAAGCAGCAAACAGAAATGTGGTTATTAAAATATTTGCAAAAGTTTTTTTGATTTGAAAGCATACTTATGATACCAGTAGGGGGGAAAAACAGGTTATGTAGTATGTTCTCACTCTAATTAGAAAAAAAAAAAAAAATCGGGGCCTCCCTGGTGGTGCAAGAGGTTAAGTCTGAGCACTATGAAGCTACTGGCAGCCATTGCATCATGAGTTTGATCCCAGGCTAAGGCACTAACCCACATGGCACAGACGACCTCTCCTGTCTTGCCCACTGCTCCCCTCAGCAGTGTATTTCAGTCTATCTGTTCTGCTCCCCACTCTGTCTCTGGTGAATCCTCTCACTCCCCCACAACTCTGGCCTATACCCCAGCTCTTGTATGCATAAATAAATAAATCTTAAAAAAAATTAAAAATATCAATTACATTAAAATGTTTATGAAGAGGACTATATATATGCCAAATTATAAAATATTGTCACTTGCCTTAATTTTTTTAATGTTTTTTTTTTTTTTTTTTTAAAGATTTATTTATATAAGCACTGGGTACAGTCAGAAGTATGGGAGGGTGAGAGAATTCACCAGAGCCAGAGCAGGGAACAGAACAGGCAGATTAATGAAACACACTGCTGAGGGGAGCAGTGGGCGTGGCAGGAGAGGTCTGCGTGCCATGTTGAACCCTCACCAGTGTCCGGGGATTGAACTGGTGCCACAGAGGCTGCAGGCAGCTTTGCAGCTCAGCGCTCAATCACTGCGCCACTGGGGAGGCCCTCCTGATAATTTTTTCCTGATTTTCTACACAATGATATCATTGGAGGGAGAATGAAAGAATCTGGGGAGAGGAATCACAACCAAACCATTAAAGACATGCCGTAAGAAGTCACCATTCTCTCCCTGAATGAATTATTGTAGTTTAGGGAAAGTGTGTAGACGCAGGATGCCTTCACAGGCCTGATAAGGAGAGGCAAAGTAGAGGTGTGAAAACTCCTACCGGCCAGTCCTTATCCAGCTCCTAAATACAGCCTGCAGAGAGAAGGTGAGGCTGGAGATGAAGAAAGAAGCAAGAAATCTGTTCCTGGTTCTTGGCTGTGCTCTTGGCATCATTCATAAACAGGGGGACTTGATGCACTGAATTCCTTATCAGTAGCACCTTCTCTCTATCAGTAGCACCTAAACTCCCCAAGTTACTCCCCACTCAGGCTGAGAACTCAGGACTTAAAACTTAGAACCCAAATGAGAAATTTTACTGCATTAAAAGAGATGTTAGTTGCTACAGGGAAGAAGCAGGGAAAAATCATAAGCTAATTCCCATTCTACTCTCCTTAGATACAGAGAGCATACCCTGAAGAGAAGCATACAGCAAGTCTTCACTTAATGTGGTCAGCAGGTTCTTGGAAACTTACTTTAAGCTAAACAACGTATAATGAAAGTAGGTCCTAGAATAACTCTGGTTCAACATTGGTCAGGGTTTTTTCCTCAATGTTACAACAAAATATTGTTGACTGAAACAGTGTTAATCAAGAACCTGCTATATATTTCTCTAAAGCACATTTTCTAGTACAATTGTTTGCCTTTAATGAAAAATATGCTATTTAATGAAAAATATGCTATTGCCTTTAATGAAAAATAGGTTATTTAGTTTCAAAGGCTAAATTAGACCTTTACTGAAAGCATGCTACCTTGTCTGAGAGAATAGAGAGTGAATGTGCTTGTTCTAAACTCAACTACTCTTGAGTACCACCACAGGCCAAGTGTTATATGAAGCACGTTTATATATTAATCTAATTTAATCTTCACAACAATATTGTAAGATCTTCCAATGTGGAGCTGAGAAAAGTGAGGCTCAAAGACCTACCTGCCTAAAGTGAGGCCCAAAGGCTCACCCACCCAAGGTGACTCACCCAAGTCATCCAGTTCTAAGAAGTCTCTCCAAGAGGCCCATCTGTGAGTACTGTTTTTAAATTTCCTTTAACTCACACAAATCTGAGCTCCTCTCCTGAAAACTTTTCAGAATTGGCCCTCAAGAGAAAGCCACCAGTGTAAAGTGAGCCTTAAACTGGGGTCCTCCATTACGAGGGCATGCTCTAAGACACTCCTTTCAATCATAACATGACTTCACACCGTGGGGGTCACTCTCAGGCCCCTCTCAACACCCTCTTCCTTCCCAATGAGACTTGGTGGGGAAGCCTGAGCAGCCAGGGACCGCTACCTGTGGAAAGCCTCAGAAAGGCTGAGAAACCCCCCTCTTGCTAACAGGAGATAAGATGTGTCCACCAAGGAGACTGCCGGGCAGCCTGCAGCAAGCTTTCTTCCTCGGCCTCAGCCCTCCTTCTTCCTGTCCTTTCATTCTCTCTCTTCCTAGTGAGAAAGCAGAGAAAGACCATACTGTGGGGAGAATGGTACCATGCTCCTGAGATGCCCAAACACAAAAGGGGTGGGCGAGGATACTTTTACCTCATAACAGGCTGTGCCTTCCTGACAGCAGGGAGACAGACTATATCTTAGGAGAGTTGGGAAGAGAGGAAGAGAATAGCTTTTCCAATGAGGACTTGTCATCTATTGGATTACTGTGATAAAACCTAAGTCACTTAGAAATGGCTTGTGATCAGCTGGACTGGATCATGGGAGCCCTGGACAGGGCACAATACAGACATTCTGAGGATGTGCATCCCCCGTGCAGCTCAACCCAGGTTAGCAATTCCCACTCTTACTGGCAAGCAGCTCTGATCAGATATAACAACTAATCCATTTCTCTTAACTGTGGATCCTGATGTTTTCAGATTTCTGATGATCAGTTACAAACCTCTTCTTGAAGCTTTGAATTAGTCTTTTCCAAGCCATCTATCTTGGTTTGAAGATCCCCAACTGTGCAGCTATAGAAAATAAAACATTAAGTAAATGTGTACTTAAAAAGTGGACGATTTTCTCTACTTATAAGCAAAGTGAATAGCTATTCCTTGATTTCTATATGAAATGGAGTCAAAGTATCTCTAATTCAGAGATAAGAATTCTAAATAAATATATGTGTACATTTATTAGATGCATATGTGTGTTTCTACATTTATTAGCCTGCTGGAGAGAGTTTTTTTTACCAGCACAAAAAAGGGGAACCTCGGGCCTCCCCAGTGGCGCAGCGGTTGAGCGCTGGGTTGCGAAGCTGCCCGCAGCCTCTGCAGCGCCGGTTCGATCCCCGGCTGCTCCCCGGCCACCGGAGGAGGGTCCCACATGGCGCGCAGACCTCTCCTGCCGCCCACTGCTCCCCTCAGCAGTGTACTTCGGTCCTTCTGCCTGCTCTGTTCCCCGCTCTGGCTCTGGTGAATTCTCTCACCCTCCCGCATTTCTGACTGTACCCAGTGCATGTAAAAACAAAAAAACAAACAAACAAACAAACAAATAAATAAATAAAATAAAAACATGCCTCAATTAAAAAAAAAAAAAAAAAGAGGGGAACCAAAATGCATGGGCAGGCATGTATCTAAAGTAATATTAATAATGATATATTGATACTTAGTAGACTCCAAGGTGATTTTAAAATCTGCTTTTTATGTTAACCCATTTTTCATATATTCTTTAAGTGCTATGTACTACTTTCATACTGAAACATAAGTAAACGACTCATGTAGATTTGATAAATAATAACAATAAACATCCAATAATAGTAGCAACTTCCTTTTTGGCTGATGTGCTAGCCCTGTTTTAAGGCTTAAATGCTCCAACTTATATATTCCTCCCCACAATTCTGTGAGGTAAATCTTACTGTTAACCTGTTTACATACAAGGAAACCACAACTTTATACTGAGAAACCTACTCAAATTCATACCCTTGAAGAGGTGCCAGAACCTGAATCTAGACGGTCTGGCTCAGGGCCTGTACTTTTACCAAAAGGTCTTTGTACATACACCAAGTTGATGTTTTTTGTTGGTGAGGCGACCAGAGAAACAAACCTGGCAAAGCTAATGGAGGTTCAAGAATTGGGTAGGAGAAAAATAAAAATTCAAATACAAAAATGAAAAGGGGAAAAAACAAGAGATATTGAGGGAATTAAAAGTTTTAAGAGTATATATCCAATTCTATAACTTAGAAAATATCAAAAAAATTTGTATTTTCCTTCTTCTTTAAATTTATACTTTTCTTAGAAAAATATAAAATCCGGGCCTCCCCGGTGGCTCAGCGGTTGAGCGCTGGGTTGCGAAGCTCCCCACGGCCTCTGCAGCGCTGGTTGCTCCCCGGCCACCGGAGGAGGGTCCCACACGGCGCGCAGACCTCTCCTGCCGCCCGCTGCTCCCCTCAGCAGTGTGCTTCGGTCCTTCTGCCTGCTCTGCTCCCCGCTCTGGCTCTGGTGAATTCTCTCACCCTCCCACACTTCTGACTGTACCCAGTGCTTGTATAAATCAATCAATCAATCAATCAATCAATCAATCAATCAATCTTTAAAAAATCAATCTTTAAAAAAAAAAAAAAAGGAAGAAAAATATAAAATCCTTAAAATCATAAGGATAACATACATGTCCTTAAGAGGAGAAAACCTAGATGAAGCAACAACTAAGGAAAAATGGAAAGGCTAGCAAAGTATTGCCTCGAGGATTTGAACTTCAAATTTTCAAGGAGCAAGTAATGCTCATGACATGCTCAGAAACAAGGCAAAGCTTCCTAATTCATTTTGTGAAGCTGTGAAACCCTGATACCAAGCCAGAGGCAAAAAACCAAAGAACAATTAAGGTCATGCTATATATTAAGAGAAAAATTAAATTATTAAAACCATATTGAGAGCATAGTTTTCCCCTGTGATACAGAAATACATTAATAATGAAACACATCATAGCAACAGATTAAGAGATATGTCATGATCACCTTAATGGCTGCTAAAAGGCATCTGATAAAATTCAACATCTATTCCTTATATAAAAACTCTCCATACATGAGGGATTGATCACGAATCTCGCTTTCAAAATAACAGCCAACATTGCAGCTAAGGAAAGCTCACAGTAGCATTCTCTTGAGTACATTCTGAGAAATGTGTTTGATTATCTTTTGGGGTCTGAGACTGATCCTGGGGACCACTGCTAATGCACCCCCTGTATTTATTGCCAGAGAGCTCAGAAAGAGAAATTAACAAGTCTCCCAAACATTAGGCTGAGACTTTGCCTACTTCCTACCAATATCCCCAAAGACTAATGTTTCATGAAACACAGCATTAGCTTTCCAATTAACATGAAACTTCAAGACAAAGTTGCCTCTATCAGTATTGAATTGTTCTGGAAGGTCTAGTCCAGTGATTTTCCACCCTTCTTTTATGCCTCAACACATCAGAGGGATATGTGCTGACTGCCAGCAGCAATAGTTCTTACCAGTGATTTCAGCCTGTGGGTTGAGGAGCAGTAAGGTTTAATTTACTTATTCCATAAATTGTATAACTGTCCCAAAACCCCAAATAATTTCCAAAAACTGTTAATAAAGGAAACATACTTCTCCATCTGTACACACAAGCAGTTGAGCAGTTTTTTCTTGGTTTGGAAGAAAAGTCAGAAATATATGGCCACTCAAAAAAGTTCCATTAGGGCCTCCCTGGTGGCTCAGGGGTTAAAGACAGCACTATCAAGCACTTGGCAGCCACTGCAGCACGAGCTCAATTCTGGCTGGCCAGGGAACAATCCACAAGGCACAGCAGACCTCCCCTGTCTTGCCTACTGCTCCCCCTCAGCAGTGGGTTTCAGTAGATCTGCCTGTTTTGCTCCCCATTCTCTCTGGTGAATCCTCTCACTCCCCATACCTCTGGCCTGTACCCTATTTCTTGTATGCATAAATAAAATAAATCTTAAAAAAATTTTTTTTAAAAAGTTCCATTAAACAACTACTGAGTCCTAAGTATGTTATATGCTGGAAAATGGAGGGTGTCCTACCTTAAGTGCCGATTAAGTTCTTCCACATAATTTTTTTGATCAAGAACATCAGTAATTCTTTCGTGCCTTTTAAAAAGAAAATGAGAAATTCTTTTTACTCATGGTTAACACTTTGCAACTGTTCCCCAACCTTCCAATCACCTTACAGAATTACCAATGTCTTTAGGAAACCCAGAGGCAGTCAGAATTTAATACTGTCTGCACGGTCTGGCCACTGGGAAGAGGAAAGTCATGGGCATGCAAGATGGAAACCAACAGCTGCATGCAAATGGCCCTCGAGGTGACTGATGAAGTAAACCCTAATTATATTAAAAGGACAGAAAGCTACCTCAGCAAAGGAGACTGTAAGACTTTTCAAAACATGAAGCAGATCAGATCAGCACAGGTTTACAAAAAGATTTTAATATTTCAGGATTAGGCTCTTCCCCTTACCTCCCAATTCTTTACATACACACATACATGCGTATGTATAAAGAAATCGTTCTGCACAGGTTCATGCCACAGGTGTTGCATTTACTTTTCATTGCAGTCCTTTTTTTCCTTTACCTGTTCTGTCTTTTTTATACATCTCCCAGGAAACCCAGATTACTAGCCTGTTAGGCATCCTGTGTGCAGAGAATCATAATCTCTGTATGGGGATTTTGTTTACGAAAATGACATATAGTTCTTGCATAACTTTCTCACTTAATAACACCTTGTGGAAATCTCTTTGTCTACTATACCAGAAGGTCACATGTGTTCTTTCATTTATTTCTTCATAATATGCCACCACAGTATGGTATATTATGGATGTTCCAAAATTCATTCAATTATCCCCTTACTAGTAGGTAGTTTCCAGTTAAAATTTTTTATTTGATTTTTTTTTCTTCCTTAAACATTATATTTGTTCTTATTTCTAATTTTTTTTTTGATATTAAGTTTCTGTTCAAGTCTTTGACATTAAATATTCTGTTTAAGTTTCAAGTGGGCAAATCCTTGTACTCAGGGTACATGAAGCATTAATGGCATACCTGCTGGTCCCTTCCTTAGTAAGGAGCACCTAGACCAGGGAGACCCTTTTCGGAAGATGTTTGAAAGCAGGTAACAGATGCATGAGGTAAAATACCGAAATACGAGCCTGGGTTTACAGTGACCCTCTCTCCCACCCGGGTTGGTCTCCCGTCTTATTCCCTACAGGGAGCCACTTCTATGAGGTCTGTGTGCGGCTCTAGAAATGGTCCATGAATACAGAAGTACAATATATAAACGTGGATGTATACTCTTTTTAAATATATTCTCTTAACATAAGTGGCAGCATACTATACACATTTGTTTCTCTTTTTCCCCCCCTAGGATAAAACTTATTTTAAAAGAGTGTTCATATTAATGAAAATGAGGAAGAATTATATGTGTCATGAAAGACATTTGAGACACACTAGGTAGGGCCAAAGGCAGCTGATGCCGTATCATCCCATTTACATTCGTCCCATTTACATTCATGAAACAAAACATACCACCAACAGACAGACCTGCAAAGCCCTGGACAAAGGCTGGGAAGGAGGTAGGGGCAGCCTCTGAGGGAGGAGCAGGCGTGGGACTGAGAAGGAGGGGACAGTGTAAATGTAGAAATTGCATTTATACTCTTTATTCTCCTGAATCTAGTTCCTTAAATGGACACATTACACCTCTGTAATTAAACATAACAAAACTTAAAATTCAAACAAAGCAGGGCCTCCCCGGTGGTGCAGTGGTTGAGCGCTGGGCTACGAAGCTGCCCGCAGCCTCTGCAGCGCCGGTTTGATCCCCAGCCGCCACGCGCCGGGCAGGCGGGCGGGCGAGGGTCCTGCATGGCGCGCAGACCTCTCCTGCCGCCCGCTGCTCCCCTCAGCAGTGTACTTCGTCAGTCTGCCTGCTCTGCTCCCCGCTCTGGCTCTAGTGAATTCTCTCACCCTCCCGTGCTTCTGACTGTACCCAGTGCTTGTATAAACAAATAAATAAAAATAAATCTTTTTTTTTTTTTAAATTCAAACAAAGCAAAAACCAAAAGTAGTACTACTTATTGGAATTTATTAAAAATATAAAGAATAATAGCATAGAATGCAGTACTTACTCTTTGCCACCATCAAGATCCTGAATATCCTTAAGGTAGAGAGAAAAATCAATCACTCCAACCTGATGGAAATGAAGTTATACAAGTTTAAATAAAAAGTAACTTTTCTGCTTTCTATAAACCTTACAATTTAAATATTCAGGGTATTTATATTCCTATCTCTTTCCTACAAGCATTTAGTTGGACTAAACAGCTCTATAGTAGCATTAAATTGAAACAAAAAACCAGGGGAAAATAACCCCGCCACCGCCTAAATAAAAAACACTAAAAATCAGAATTTATGGGAATATTTTGAAATTTTACCACTTAGTTATGATCAGTTTTGCAATCTATTCAATAACGAAGTTGTTGATAAAGATCAACAAAGTTCTTTGGGTACAAAGTAACAACAACAGGGCCTCTCTGGTGGCTCAGGGGTTAAAGTCTCAGGGATATCAAGCTATCAACAGGGCATGAGTTCTATCCCCAGCCAGGAAGCTGACCCACAGGGTGCAGCAGACCTCTCCTGTCTCGCCCGCTGCTCCCCTCAGCAGTGTATTTCATCAGCCTGCCTGTTCTGTTCCCTGCTCTATCTCTGGTGAATCCTCTCATCCCCCGCATCTCTGGCCTGTACCCCAGCTCTTGTATGCATAAATAAACAAATCTTTTTTTAAAAAAAAAAGGAAGTCAGGGCTGGCAGCATTGGATGTTTGACTTGACAGCTAGGAAGGCAACATCACAAGGGGCGGTGCCGGACGTATCAGAGGCAGGGACCAGAGTTTTATGTCTTAGAGATGCTGGGCATATGCCTAACAGCAAACAGTTCTTTTTTTTTTTAAAGATTTATTTTTATTTATTTATACAAGCACTGGGTACAGTCAGAAGCACGGGAGGGTGAGAGAATTCACCAGAGCCAGAACGGGGAGCAGAGCAGGCAGAAGGACCGAAGTACACTGCTGAGGGGAGCAGCGGGTGGCAGGAGAGGTCTGCGCGCCATGTGGGACCCTCCTTCGGTGGCCAGGGAGCAGCCGAGGATTGAACTGGCGCCTCAGAGGCTGCAGGCAGCTTCGCAACCCAGCGCTCAACCGCTGCGCCACTGGGGAGGCCCCAAACAGTTCTTTTTGAGACACCTAGCACAGGGCCCCTGGTATTATTCCACAGGCAATGTTGGAAGCAGACTCAGAGGTCAGGTCTGCAAAGGAGCGCTACCAGAGGACAGGGGCCAGTGTCACAGCTCGAGAAGGTCTTTCCAGCAGAGTAAGACGAATCTGCCCGAATGACTTGAAGCGGGCTGGAGCCTAACTTACACACTCCTCACGGTGCCCAACTTTCAAACCTGAGGGGCCCATTTTACTTGAATGACACCCATGAGAGTGCCAATCAGATTGGTCTGTTTATAATCCCAGCTGTGAGGTGCTGGCTGAACTGCATCAGTGTGCCCAAGCTGACCAACATTGAGGTTGGGCTTCAAAAGCCAACATCAGGAGCCCCTTTCCCACCAGTGCAAACTCCAACCTGACTGGTGCCCACAGCAGCTCCAACCGGATTGATCTATTATCAACCCCATGTTGGACTCATGGGGCCCTCTGACAATCTCCCCACTTTCCATTCTTGTCACCATTTCTATGGTGACAAGCTCTCATTTTCACTTCTGTATGCAACATCTAGTATCATTAGATATGTGGAGATCCCACAACCTCCCCAGAAGGGGCACTGGCCTTTGGGAAGGGATTCTCCACTGGTGGGTTTGAGGCTGCCATTAAGTGGCAGTCCTCCTCTTCCTGTGCCTCCCCATTATCACTATCAATTTCACTTCCGAAAGGAACATTAACAACCAGAGGGGCACTACAGTGCCTTGGGGTAAGAATGAAGTACTCCTTGCACATTAGCGACCAACACAGACTGCACCAGAGGGGATATATTACTGGACAAGAGATAGATAGAAATATAAAGCTGGAAAACAGGAGGAAAAAAAAAAGTGAAGCTTGGAAGATGATTTGAAGAGGACCTAGTGGCAGCTTGAGGAGCAGTCAGATTTATCTGGAACCTGTAACACTGAACCTTGTCCTTTGGCACCATGCCATCGAAGGCCTGACCTCTGACATTACCCCTGACATTGTCTGCTGAAAGACACCATCAGCCTGTGTTAGGTGTCCCAGAAAGAGCTGGTTGCTGTTGGCTTTATGCCCAGCATCTAAGAACTACAACACTGGTCCCTGCCTCTGACACATCTACTACCACTCTCTAGTGATGTTGCCTTTGGTGCTGACAGGTCCAGTGTCCAGTGCTGCCCAGCCCGGCCTTCAGATTGTTGTTGTTGACTCGGATTGCTGTGGTGTCACCTCTGCTGAGACCTAAGAGACCTTCGTAACCCGAAGTCGTGACCTTCAAACCACTGCTACTGCCTCTAGCCCCGCCTCTAGCATGTTCCTCTCTCCTAACTTATCTCTCTACTTTGTAAATTAACCCTGTTGTTGTTAAACTCTGAGCCTCAGTTGTCTCCTGCAACTTTAGTAGTAAGCAGACAGGTAGAACCCACCAGTTGTGACATTTTGGCTCCCCCAGGCCTTGGACAGTAACAAATGGACTGAACTCCCTAAAAGGCACAAAGTGGCCAGGTGGATTAAAAAGCAAAACCCAGTTAAATGGTGTTTACAAGATGAACTTTAGCTATAAATGTCAGAGGAGTCCCATTCTACTCCCAGCCCCCACAGCTCCTGGTGTTCAGTTTTGAAGCCCAACCTCAGTACAGGTCAGGCTGGATGTGCTGATGCAGTTTCAGTTTTGAAACCATGGTAATGAAAATGGAGCTCCCATGGCACTAATGAAGTCTGAGCTTGCACCAGTGCCAATCAAGTAAAATAGACCAATCAGGTTTGAATGTGGTTACACTGACGGGGATATAAGTCAGGTTTCAGTCAGCTTCAAGAGACAGACTTGTCTGGATTCTCTCCTGGAAAGGCCTTTACAGACCTGACCTTGACTCTGCCTCTGGCACTAACTGCTGAATGACACCATCTGCCTATGCCCAGTGTCTTTAAAAGAGTCATTTGCTATTGGCTTGTGCCCAGCATCTCTTAAGAGCTGTAATTCTGGTCCCTGCCCTCTGGCATTACCACCTGCTCACCAGAGCTGACTGGCACTGGTGCCCTATGATCAGCATTGCTGGTTTCTGCCAGCATAGCCATGGGGCTAGGGGAGGGGGGCAGGGGACAGTAATGATGTGAAGGCACACATCCTTAATTCATAAGACACTCTTCCTAAGAGCTTTACTATTGTTCCCTGTCATATCCTTCAAGAATTTTGCTGACCTTCAAGACCTTTGCATCTGATCTCTGCTTCAAACCACTGCCTAAGCACTGCTACTGCCTCTGGCCCTGCCTCCCACTCTTTCCCTTCTCCCAGCTTCTTCATTTCTCTCACCTCTTTGTAAATAAACCTGTTGTTGCTGTACCCTAAGCCTGTGTTGTATCCTGAAATTGCAGTTGTAAGTGCACTGGTGAGGACCCACCAACCATGATATTTGCCCTCCCCCCTCCCAACTCTGCATAGTTTCATAAAGACACAGATTTAAAGTGAGTATGGAAGCTGGTACTCTAAGCCAATGGAAAAATTTCAAAGGCAGGAACCACTATACTTATTAGATAAAACAGATTTTTAGCCAAATAAGATGACAAGAGACAACATTACATAATGAACATTACATAATGATAAAGGGATCAATAAAACAGGAAGCTATAACAGTTATGAATATATATGGACCTAACAGTAGTATCAAAATATATAGAGCAAATAACAGACCTAAAGAGAGACACTGACAGCAACACAGTTATAGTAGCGGACTTAACAGTAATGGACAGATCATCCAGATAGAAAATCACTAAGGAAACAATGATCTTAAAATGACAAACTGAATGGACTTGATGGATATTTAAAGAACATTCAACCCCCAAACAGGGTACACATTTCTTCTCAAGTATTCATGGAACATTCTTAAGGAAAGACCATATGTCAGAACACAAAGTCAATAAATTTATGAAGGCTGAAATCATATCAAGCATCTTTTAAAATCATACAATTTTTAAACGAGAATTCAGGACCTCCCCTGGTGGCGCAGCAGTTGAGCGCTGGGCTGAGAAGGTGCCCGCAGCTTCTGCAGCGCTGGTTCAATCCCCGGCCACCAACGAGGGTCCCACATGGTGCGCAGACCTCTCCTGCGGCCCGCTGCTCCCCTCAGCAGTGTATTTCTTCGTCAGCCTGCCTGTTCTGTTCCCTACTCTGGCTCTGGTGAATTCTCTCACCTTCCCGCGCTTCTGACTGTACCCAGTGCTTGTATAAACAAATAAATAAATCTTGAAAAAAAAAAAAAAACCCCAAAAACTAGAAATCAACCAAAACCACACATTTGTAGAGAGTAAATAATATACTACCAAAGAACTATGGATCAATGAGGAAATCAAAGGTAAAATAAAAACTTCTTGGAGATGAATGAAATTGAAGATACTACTTATGAGGATTAGTGGGATGTAGCAAAGTCAGTACTAAGAGGGACATTTAAAACATCATAGGCCTACCTCAGAGAACAAGGAGAATCAAAATAAAATTTAAATTTGTCCCTAAAGGAACTAGAAAAAGCAAAACCAAAAGCAACAGAAGGAAGGAAAAATTAAGAGCAGAAATTAACAAAATGGAGATCAAAAAGACAATTCCGAAAATCTATGAAACCAAGAGATGGTTCATTGAAAAGATTAATAAAACAGACATACCTTCAGCCAGAGTCACAGAGAAAACAAAATCAGAAACAAAAGGGAAATTAAAGCAGGTACTATAGAAACACAAGGACCACAAGCGAGTATTATAAACAATTAATATGGCAACAAATTGGGCAACCTAGAAAAATTGAAAATATTCTGAAACATACAACATTCCAATATGACTAACAAAGAAATAAAAAAACCAGAACAGACCCCATCATGACTAAGGAAATTAACAGAGTAATCAAAAGCCTCCCCCCAAACAAAAGCCTGAGACTAGATAATGTAACTAGTGTACTCTACCAAACTTAAGAGAAAAATTCATACCA